ATAGATAGATAGATAGATAGATAGATAGATAGATAGATAGATAGATAGATAGATAGATAGGTAGATAGATAGATAGATAGATAGATAGATAGATAGAAAGATAGATAGATAGATAGATAGATAGAAAGATAGATAGATAGGTAGATATAGATAATATAGATAGATAGAAAGATAGATAGATAGATAGATAGATAGATAGATAGATAGATAGATAGATAGATAGATAGATAGATAGATAAATAGATATATAGATAGATATATAGATATATAGATAGATCGATAGATAGATAGATAGATAGATAAATAGATAAATAGATAGATAGATAGATAGATAGTTAGATAGATAGATAGACAGACAGATAGATAGATAGATGAAGAGATAGATAGATAGATAGATAGATAGATAGATAGATAGATAGATAGATAGATAGATGAATAGATAAATAGATATATAGATAGATATATAGATATATAGATAGATCGATCGATAGATAGATAGATAAATAGATAAATAGATAGATAGATAGATAGATAGATAGATAGATAGATAGATAGATAGATAGATAGATAGATAGATAGATAGATAGATAGATAGATAGATAGATAGATAGACAGATAGATAGAGAGATGAATAGATAGATAGATAGATAGATAGATAGATAGATAGATAGCTAAATAAATAGACAGACGGACAGAGTGAGAGAAAGATAAAGCGAAAGAGAGACAGTGTGCGTAGGAGAGAGAAAGACGTCGTTGTGTGTCATTGCACGCCTCGTTGCGCGCGTGCCCCGACTGCGTGTGTGACTCATGTACACTGCAAATAGCATTATCCGCAGCCGCTGAGACAGGTTCCATTCAGCAGCCCGTTGCAAAGTAAACAACACTGTTTACAGTTTGTATAATAAGGACAGCCCGCGATGAAAAAATGCCACTGTTCACCGTTGTAAATAAACAAATAGGACGAGGGCTGTCCAGGTATACTTTCTGCGGTGACGTCGCCGACGACGAGGCCGCGCGGTGGCGCCAGCGTCGCACGCGCGCGCGGTGGAACAATGGCGCGCGCGTGGTGGACCACACAATGACAATATTCTGACTGACAGTCCGTGTCCTTTTGTCGTGAATATGACATATAATTATGCCTCGGCGCCGCATGCGACCCATGCTCGCGACCAACGCGGGCCGTCGCTCCTGCCGCTCCGGCATATTTCCATTCGCCGTCGCGCGGCGACCAATCAGAGCGCGCGCGGTGGGCGGGGCGTTACGCGGTGATCACCACGTACATGCCGAGCTCTGTGTTTCGTACAAGTTGCCATACTATTCGCCGTAGTTTGCGGACACGTTTTGCTGTTTCCTTTCGCCGTCGCGCGGTCGATTATAGAGCAGCAGCAGCAGCAGTGCGCGCACGGACACACGCACGCACACGCACACGCACACGCACGCACACACACACGGATCCAAACTGGAGGATTATCGAATTCCTCCTATGTCCGTAGCGGACGGATTCGAGCACGACAAATCCGCATTCATGGAGATTCAGCATCAGAACTTCGGCATGCACGGCATGGCGCAGAGTCCGTATCCGACTATCCGGTCGGCGTACCCGGGCCAGCCGACGCAGGCCGACGGCGTCTTCTCCGGCCACCAGCGGCCGAGCCTCGGATACCCGTTCGGTATGAACATGAATATGAACATGAACATGAGTGGACATACGTCGTACACGCCGCCTAGTCACCCGTTTACCGTCAATCCGTACCACCAGAACTCGACGTCGCCCGTCAGAGAGCAAGGTAGGGCATCTCAGAAGAACGTGCGCGCGTGCGTGCGTGCGTGCGTATACGTGCGTGTGTGTGCATGCGGGTGGGCGGATAGCGCCGTTCATTAGTGGATCTCCGTAATTATTTGTGAGTGCGTGTGTGCGTGCGTGCGTGCGTGCGTGCGTGCGTGCGTGTGAGACTGTGTGTGTATGTGTATGTGTGCGTGCGTGAGTGCGTGCGTGCGTGCGTGCGCGAGTGTGTGTGTATGTGTATGTGTGCGTGCCTGAGTGCGTGCGTGCGTGCGTGCGTGCGCGAGTGTGTGTGTGTGCGTGTGTGTGCGCGCGTATGTGTGTGTGTATGTATGTATGTGTCTATATACATGTGTGTGAGGCAGGCAGCGTGTCATATGAGATGGCCGCTCGCTGTTCCTAATTCTCTGTTATTATGTTCAATTTCAAACTATTTACTGATCGAAGTCTCGCAGCCACACACAGTGCGACTGGCCAATTTAAAAACTGTATACGCGCACACACGCGCGCACCGGGAGAGGAGAGGAAAGGAGGAGCCAACATACACATAGACAAGGCGCAGCCACGCGTACTATATATATATATATATAATATATATATATATATCCATGTGTAGCTGTGTGTGTGTGTGTTGTGTGCGCGCGTGTAGTGTGATAGTGTGTTGCTGGCGGTGTGTGTGGGTGTTTGGTTGTTTGTTGTGCGGTGATATGTGTGTGTGTGGCGCGTCGCGACCGAAAGTGGTGGTGGTGTGTGATTGTGTGCCACGTTGCGTGCGGCGCTGATAGTGCAGATTTTGATCATACACGATCGCCACCATACCATACAGCCATTACGGTATACGCCATACGCTACGCGATACGCATACGCATACACATACAAATACAAAAATACACATACACACACACACACACACGCAACACACGACACCACACACACACATACAACACACCACACACCACACACACCACAGCGCACACCACGGCCACCAGCTCTCTCCCCCCATATCTCTACACTGATTTCGGGCCCTATATATATTTACTCATCTCTGTCCATGTATTTTATCACAATATAGAATGCTGCTGCCTATATCGAATCGGCGGAGCCGTAGGTCTCAGGTACCGTGTAATAGATACACACTGGACGTTGTATTCGCTCTCTGCTCTTGCTGCTGCTGTGCTGCTGCTGTGCCATATAAGTCCGCATGTCGCTGTTAGATTCCGAAGCTTATCGTTATCTAGCATGCATTTGCAGAGGCTGAATGATCTGCTCTCTGTTCTCTCATCTGTCTCTCTTTTCCTCTCTCTCTCTCTCTCTCTCTCTCTCTTTGTCTCTCTCCTCTCTCTCTCTCTCTTCTCTCTTCTCTCTCTCTCGTCTCTCTCTCTCTCTCTCGCACAGCACACACACACACACCAGACACACAGACACATGACACACACACACACGACACACACAACACACACACACACACACATCAGAACACAGACACACACACAACTCTCTCATCTCTCCTCTCGTCTTCTCTTCTCTTTCTCTTTACACTCTACTCCAACACACGCACACACACACTCTCTCTCTCTCTCTACTCTTTTATTCTCGTTTCTCTACTCACTCTGCTTTCTGCACACACACACACACACGACACACACGACACACACCACACACACACACACACACCCAATCACACCACACACAACACACACACACACACACCACTCTCTCTCTCTCGCTCTGCTCTTCTGCTCTCTCTCTCTCGTCTCTCTCATGTCTCTCTCGCCTTCGCCTCTTTCTCTCTTCAACTCTCTCTCTCTCACACGCCGCTCTCTCTCTCCACGCTCTTTCTCTCTTCTCTCTAACACACACACACACTCTCTGGTCTCTCCTCGCTCGAGCTCTCTTTCTTCTCGCACACTCTCTCTTTCGCCAACGCTTTCTCTCTCTCTTGCCTCTTTCTTCTCTCTCTCGTCTCTCTCTTTCTCTCTCTAACACACGCTGCATCTCTCTCTCATCTCTCTCTCTCGCTCTCGCTCCTCTCTCTCTCGGTCTTCTGTCTCTCTCGCCCGCTTCCTCCATGACTACAGCTAGCTAGAGGTACAGCGGCGTCGTGTGTCGCATCAGATAGCAACAAGCCTGCTGTGTCTGAACCAGTCGTGCGAAAAGAGAGAGAGGAGAGGAAGAGAGAGAGACAGAAGGAGAGAGAGAGAGGAGGGGCGGAGAGGAGAGAGGAGAGAGAGGAAAGAGAGAAGAGAGGCTTAGATAGTCCCGAGCTCCGCTCGAGAGAGAGAGAGAGAGAGAGCAGAAAAGAGAGAGATAGTGAGAGAAGGAGCGCGAGCGGGAGAGACTGTTCCTTAGTGCCGACGAAACAACGGTCCTACTGTATTCCTGGTTCCCGAGCCTTTTTACGCTGTGAAGTCTGCCTCCTTGCTAACACACACACACACACACAACAACACACACACACACACACACACACACACACACACACACACACACACACACACACACACACACACACATCCTCCGCCGTTCGATAGTAAGAGAACGCGTCTGCTATCTCCACATAGCAACGCGGCCAAGCATCCAGGATTAGGCCCCGGGAACCACCCTCCGCTCATTCTCACTCCAGCTCCACTTACACACACACTCCACACGGACCACATAGCCCACCTCTCTCGCTCTCCCTCTCTCTCTCCTCCGCCTCTTCCTCCTCTTCGGCAGATTATATAGATCTCGCCATGAATGCGCATAATTGTAATTATTTGAGATATTAATGGACGACACGTGTAGGTGCGTAGGGTACACGTGTGTGTGTGTGTGTGTGTGTGTGTGTGTGTGTGTGTGTGTGTGTGTGTGTGTGTGTGTGTGTGTGTGTGTGTGTGTGTGTGTGTGTGTGTGTGTGTGTGTGTGTGTGTGTGTGTNGCTGTCAACCCGGGAATATATGCATTTTCTTATTTAAATTCGGAGGAGCAATGCTACCTGCTAAATAATTTATCTTAGAAATTTCTGCGTGCCTGTTTTTAGTATTTATTTATTTATTGTAGTGATTTTAAAATTAAATAATCATATAATTATATATATTATATCTGTGTGTATGTACGCGCGTGTGTGTTTGCGTGTGTATGAGTGCGTGTATGTGTGTAGCATGTGTGTTTGTCTGTGACTGCATGTATGTGTGCGCGCGTGTGTGTATGTATAGCATGTTTGTATGTGTGTGCACATGCAGTGCGTAATATATAGCTATTATTTTCTCGGTGAAAACCCACGCGGCTGTAAATTACAGACGGATACAGTGTTTTACGCGGGGCTTTCGGCTGTAATGTGTTTGAACACAAAATAATTATTTGGTTTCCCGACTTCGACGTTGTACAGGAAACAATAACTCCCTAGTTGAATCATGAAGAGGAAGACGATGATTATAAAGTTCAGCCCGCTAATTTGCATTTAATTTGCATACATTTAATTAATGACAATTTCGGGTAATTTCGAACGCAATTCGACATTTCGTGCGGTTAGCGAAACGATACAAATGGTGGGAACTGTTGAGAATGACAGGATGTGTTCATTAGAAACAAACTCATACTTACTCGCTTACGCACGCGAGCACACGCACGCACACACACAGGAGCACACGGCACGCCACACACATGCACGCACACACACACACCGCCGCGCACACACACACGCACACACACACGCACGCCACACACACACACACACACACACACACACCAACACACACACACACACACACACACACACACACACCACATACAAGCATACATAAGACACACATACACGCGCAAGCACACACACATACGCCGCGCTGCGTCACAAACATCATATAATATTTTGCGACATAAAAATATATATCCTACATTACGTACACAAATAATTATATAATATAATTATATATATTAATAAATTATATATATATATATTATATATATATATTTATATACTGTTAATACATACAAATCCATGCGACAATCTCCTGGATTCCTTCACATTCGCTACACGATGACTCAAGCCACCAAGCGATTCGAAACATCCGAATATTTGGTCGACACAAATACCTGTGCAGCAGAGTAGTTAATTAAATTTAATCTAATGCCCCCAACATACACCTGCTGTAATTTGTCATAATCTCTCCCCGATCGTTAATATTACATGCGTCGGTGAGCCTGCGCAGTCGGGGGCGAATTTTTGTTTAAACAGTTTGAATAGCCAGCGCGTGAGCAGTAACAGTAGAAGTATCAGAAGCACAGGCGCAGCAATAAGTACCAGCAGCACAGTAGTAGAGCAGTAGCCCAGAGTTTTTAAGTAGGATTAGCGAGTACAGTAGCAGTAGGAGTAGATTAGCATTAGCAGTAGCAGCCAGCAGCAATAGTAGCAGCCAGCAGCAGTAGGTAGCTACGCAGCAGTCAGTAGGCAGCTAGCAGTAGTGAGTAACATTACCATTGCAGTAGCAGCAGAAGCAGTTTAGTAGCAGTAGCACAGGACGCAGCAATGATGTAGCCCAAGCAAGCAGCAGCGAGTTAGTAGTAGCAGTAGCAGTTAGTGAGTAGCAGCACAGCGGCAGTAGCAAGTAGTCGTAGTAGCGTATATACTTCACAGTTATCGTTCCCTTAACCCACTGCCTATCCCACGGCGCTCGCTGCTGCTGCCTGCCGCCGCCGCTGCTGCTGCTGCCCTGCGCTGCCAAGCTGCCGCGTGCTGCCTGTTGCTGCCTGTGCTGCCGCCGCTGCTGCTGCTCTGCCGCCGCTAGTTGCTGCTGCCTGCCGCCGCTGCTGCTGCTCTGCCGCCCGTGCCCTGCTGCTTGTTGGAGTGCTGCTGCCGCTGCCTGCTGCTGCTGTTGAGTTGCTGCTGCTTGCTGATCTCTCGTTTAGAGAGCCTGTGTGGTGCCGAGTGTGCGCGCATAAAATTCAAAGACACGAGACTTGATCATCTCTCTTCAGCTCTCGTGAAAACGCTCTCCGTCTGACGTCGCGAGCTCCCCATCTAACATTAACTATATAATCATCACGGAATGAATAATTAATTAAGTAATCGCGAATCTGGGCGCTATAGCAAACGAGACTTTCCGCCATGGAAACACTAACTTACTACTTTAGCGACTAACTTACTGAGCGCTCGTTGATATATTTATGATTTACGATCGACAGTTACCCCCGACGTCCGATATAATACACCGTGATCAAAATACCCAATTAATTAATTAATAATTAATGAAATGAATTAATTAGATTCATCATTCGTGCTGATATTTGATTCAACACGAATCACTGTACCTCACGTGCGTTCACCATCCTCTCCTATACGCGCGATAGTCATTTGCCAGGCCACCCTTACGACAGACATAGCATACACCGTATACGTTTGATCTAGTGGCTACAAGGAATGTTCTGCATCTTTTATTCTGAAACTAATATAAATTCCTTACGTCATTTGCGGTGGCAGCATTCGGGATAATGAGATGAGAGAACGGAATCTCATGCTGCGAGTTCAGCTAAATATATAAAAGCGGGAATTCCCCACAATAACTCAGATGATTTTTTTTAAATATCGGAGCATGCATGTGTGTGTGTGNCTCTCTCTCTCTCTCTCTCTCTCTCTCTCGCTCTCTCGCTATCCTTCTCTCTCGCTTTATCTCTATCTGTTTCCTCTCCTCTCGTGTTCCCACTCTCTTCCTTCTCTTTCGTTCTCTACCCCTACTCTCTCTCGCTCTCTTCCCCTCTCTCTATATATCTCTCTCTCTCCCTCTCTCTCTATTATATAGCTTTCCACATACCCTTTGCGTACAAGCGCGTCTCTATCTCTCTTTCTCTGTAATTTCAAAAAACTGTGGTGCGTGCAACTATGGCTCAGCATACTAACTCTGCGTCTCTCTCCGTCTCTTCCCCTCCACCGCGTGCTGCTCCAACAACAACAACAACAACAACAACAACAGACAAGGCGGAAGAGCGAGTCAACGGCAAAGGCAAGAAGATGAGGAAACCACGAACCATCTACAGCAGTCTACAGCTGCAGCAGCTCAATCGACGCTTTCAGCGTACGCAGTACCTAGCGCTGCCCGAGCGCGCCGAACTCGCAGCGTCGCTAGGTCTCACGCAAACGCAGGTACGTGCATGTAGGGGAGCGGGCGCCGTGTCACAGGGTAGATGTGTGGGTGTCACAGGGGTAGGTGTGAGTGTCAAAGCGGTGGGTGTGAGTGTCGCAGAGCTAGTGCGAGTGTCACAGGGGTGGGGGTGAGTGTCACAGTTATGTGACTGGGTCACAGAGGTCGTGCGTGCGTGCCACAAGAGGTCGCGTGCGTGCCACCCGGGGGTTAGTGTGAGTGTCACAGATGATAGTGTGAAGTGTCACAGTGTGATGTGAGTGTCACATGAGGACTGGGTACATGTCGCGGGAGTTTGTGTACGTGTGCGCACCGGGTCGCAACTCTCCCTTGTCTGCCCGCCATTTGCCGACTCACGCAAGCGTGTGCGTACTTTATTGTGTAGTTGGATGAGCACACGGGTGCTGGTGATGGTGCTGGGCAGTGAGATAAGTATTGCGTTATTGGGCTTTGATCGTAGAGCTTGACGGTGGCGAATGGGTAAGTAATCAATAGCCATGAATATCGCTCGCCATGATAAACCCATATATCTATATATTATAATATAGCTATATCAGGTGGTATCAGAGAGAGAGATGCGAGAGAGAAAGAAAGAGATGAGATAAAAATAAGGGAGAGCGGAGAGAGAGAGAGAGAGAAGAGAGAGAGAGAGAGAGAGAAGAGAGAGGAGAGGAGCGAGAGAGACAGACCGACACAGGGATCTGCACGCAGGGGGGCCTCCGGCACACGGGTCGGCGCGCGCGGCAGGCGCGGCCGGGCACAGCGGCGGCGCTCGGGTCACCCAATCAGAGAGAAAGTGTATCTAGCTCGGTAGTGCTAACTGTAGCGTAAGGGGGGGGGGGAGGGGGATGAGGCAAGACATTGTCACGGGTTCTTCTCAGCCGACCGGCCTGCGGGGCGACACACGGGCCACGCTGAATCTCTCCCGCTGCTGCCGCCTGCACTGACTGCCGGCTGTGGCTGACTGCTACTGCGCCGTTCCCGCCGGCTGCCGCTACCGCTATTGCCGCTACGCGGCGCTGCCCGTTACCCGCTAACTGCTGCTGCCCGCGTGCCGCCGCCTGTTGCAGCTGCGGCTGGCCGCTGCTCGGGCCGCTGCTAGAACCCCGCCGCTCGCCGTTACCGGCTACTGGCTCAGCTGGCCGGGGGCTACTACTCGGGCCGCTGCTCGCCCTCACCTGCTACTCCCCCCTGGCGCCGGGTGCCGGGCCTGGGCCGTTACCGTGGGCCGGTCCCGCGTGCCGCTGAGCGGCTATTGCCGCTAACACCGCCGCTGGCCGTTAGCGCTACTGCTGCGCGCTTGCCGCTGTTGGCAGCTGCCGCGTGCGGCTGCTTGCTTACCGCTACCTGCTGCTGGCCGTCCGCTACCGCTTCGCCGCTACCCGCTGACGCGCTTGCCGCCGCTACCGGCTGCCGTTTCTGAAGCGCTGTCCGCTACGGAAATATCCACTGAGATTGGCTTCACCGCTGTATGGCGTGCAGCAGCGAACGCGATGTTGCCGGCGCGGCGATGTACGTCAAGCGCACGCTAGCCCGCGCGGCGCTCGCTGATCGGGGTAAGAAGATGGGATGATGGAAAAGGAGAAAGGAGGAGGAGGGGGACCAAGGAGGAGGAGGGGAGGAGGGGAGCAGGAGAGGAGGGAAGCTCCGCGGCTGAAGAAGAAATGGTGAAATGAGCGCTGTCTCTGATTAGTGCTTTCACTTCGCCAATCACGCGTTTGTATGTACGACTGTTAGGTCACCATGGCCGCACACAACACGCGACGCACCAAACACAACAGCGCGCGCGCGCATAGAAGCACGCACACATGCCACCACACACACACACACCACACAACCACACGCACACACACCCAATGCACACACGACGCACTACGCACGCCACGACACACTGCACACGACTGACCACTGCTTGGGGCGACCCACACACCCCACAATGCACAACACAGGTGCCGGGCGCCGCGGAGGCGGGCCGTGGCGCACACTACCACACGTGGCAGTGCACACGCGCACACATGCAGCAGCACCACAGGGGCACGCGCGCGGCCGCACACATCAGTGCGCGCACAGCACGCCACGGGCGGCGCCGCACCCTACCCACACACCGCACACAGCCCACACGCACACCCGATATCTTGACAGCATCATATATATATATATATATATATATATATATATATATATATATGTGTGTGTATAATGTATGTGTGTGTGGGTGTGTGTGTGTGTGTGTGTGTGTGTGTGTGTGTGTGTGTGCTGTGGTGTGTGTGTGTTGTGTGTGTGTGTGTCGTGTGTGCGTGCGTGCTTGTGTGCGCGCTTCGGGCGTGTGCGTCTATGCGCGTGTGTACACTGAGTGCCGCGGCTCGCGTCACAGCCAGGGCCAGCCAGCAGCCCCCCACGCGCACGGTTGACACACGCGGAACAAACGAGTTTTAGTTGTTGTCTGGCAATAACAGGGCCATGCTGTATATGGGCATCCTATGCGTCCGTGTGTCCAGCACGCTGTGTGTGATGTGTTTGTGGTGTGTGTGTGTTGTGTGTGTGTTGTTGTTGTGTTGTGTGTGTGGCGTGTGCGTGCGCCGCGCGTTTGTGTGTGCTCCTGCTGTGTGTATGTGCTGTGTGTGTGTGTGCTCGCCGCCTGTGTGTGTGCTCCTTGTGTGTGTGTGTGTGTGTGTGTGTGTGTGTGTGTCGCGCGCCTGTGTGCGCGCTTGTGTGCGATGTGTGTGTGTGCGCGCGTGCGTGCGTGCGTGTGTGTGCGTGTGCGTGCGTGCGTGTGTGTGTGCGTGTGCGTGCGCGCGTGTGTGTGCTCCTGTGTGTGTGTGTGTGTGCGCGCCTGTGTGCGCGCTTGTGTGTGTGTGCGCGCGTGCGTGCGTGCGTGCGCGCCTGTGTGTGTGCGTTAGGAGGGGAGGCGGCCCCACACTATGTGATGACGTGTGATGGCGGAGAATGTGACCCCGTAAACAACTCTGATCGACAGACGAGGCCACGGCGCGTATATATAAACAAGGTATTATCCACCGTACCAATCCACGACAAGTGCGGATGTCTACCTGCCTGCCAAACGATGACGACGACAGCGTTACCTATTATATGCTAGTTTCTAATAGATGCACGAAATCTCCGCAGTATCCGTGTGCTGATCATCTAAGAGATATAGAATATAGAAGATTCAGTAGATTCATAGATTCTGGTAGATATAGAATATAGATGTATAGTCTAGAGATTCTTGTAGATAGAATATAGATGTATAGTCTAGAGATTCTTGTAGATAGAATATAGATGTATAGTCTAGAGATTCTTGTAGATAGAATATAGATGTATAGTCTATAAATTCTTGTAGATAGAATATAGATGTATAGACTATAGATTCTAGTAGAGATAGAATATAGATGTATAGACTATAGATTCTAGTAGAGATAGAATATAGATGTATAGTCTATAGATTCTTGTAGATAGAATATAGATGTATAGACTATAGATTCTTGTAGATAGAATATAGATGTATAGACTATAGATTCTAGTAGAGATAGAATATAGATGTATAGTTTATAGATTCTTGTAGATAGAATATAGATGTATAGACTATAGATTCTTGTAGATAGAATATAGATGTATAGTCTATAGATTCTTGTAGATAGAATATAGATGTATAGTCTATAGATTCTTGTAGATAGAATATAGATGTATAGACT